TTAGCATGACTGAGAGTGGATGGGTGCTGGAATGTTTATGTATGCATGTATGTGTGGGTGGGAGGCCTGTGATCAAGGGTCTCCCTCAATCCCATTCCCCCTTATTTATTGGTTCAGGGTCTTCTCCCTAAACTTCTCACCAATTCAACTAAACTGGTAGGCTCCAGCCTCCTGAGTAAAAAAAGATCACAAGCACATAGTGCCATGCACAGATTTTCATATGGGCTGGGTGCTAGAGAGCTGAACTCAGGTCCTCATGGATGTATAGCTGAGTCCTCCACCAACCTGCCATAGCCCTTTAAATATATATATATTTTTTAAATATATATATATAGCCAGATTTTAACTTTACTCTGCTAAACAGATTCAAGTCCTTTCCTATGAACTCAGCCTTACTTCAAGCATGATGACATTGCCCTTTTCTTCTTTTTTGAAGTTTTATTATCCCCAGCACCTAATGTCTCCAATGGTATGAGAACACACACCTTAATATTCTAGTCTTTTGGTCTTTATTCTTGTTACGCCCTGTGCTGGCGATTCTTTCCTCTTAGTGTCTGCACAGATTCTCAACTCCTTTATGGCTTTGCTCATAATAGCTTACGTCTACCTGTTTAAAAACCACACCACAAATTCACTTAGCCCATTTCTTTATAACATTTGCATCCTGACACCGTACCTCTCACTTGAATACTGTCTGTCGGCTCCCAGGCTCCCATTCACATACATCTAAAGCTCAAGTTATTGGAGCCAGATAAAGTGGCAACTTATCTTTTATTCCAGCACTCAGAAGGCTAAGGCAAAAAACCTTTTTTAAAAGTTTTAAAAAGTTCAAGGACAGCCTGAGTGTTGGGGGCATACTGGGAACGCAGCTCAGGAGTGTTTGGCCCAAATTCAATCCCCACTATCAGGGGGCTAAGGGGTAAGAATTCACTACTAAACCCCCAACTGAAAGGTTTTTCGAGGGTTTCTCTGCATATACTTTCCCTCCTTCAAGACAGTTTTCTCTATGTAACAGCCATGGCTGTCCTGGAACTAGCTCTATAGACTAGGTTGGCCTCAAACTCCCAGATCTGCCAACCTCTGCCTCCACTACCCAGCTGAAATCTATTTCTAAAACCTACAAAATGGACTGCTTTACTTCTGTGGATTCTACATATAGACATTATCTATAATGTCTCATAGCATTGTTTGGACAACAAGCTTGTTTCCAAGAACTACTTGCCCCAGTATCACCCATGTTGGAGTGTAGGGAAATCCATCCCAAATCACATTATCTAAAATCTGACAAGGCAGAGTGCTGCTACAGTCAGAAGCAGGGGTTTGGACAGCTTGAGCTACAGTGTACTAACCAAGACATTCTTTTCCTAACAAGGTTGATTTCTGATACCATTCTTGCAGTTCTAACTGTAGCATACACATGGGTTACAATTTAGTTTTCGTTAATGATGAGCAACAGCAAATTCTGTTTTTAAAATGCATGTGTTTATGTAGGTTAAGTGCAAGCCCATGGAGTGCTGGATAATGTGCGGCTGTAGTCAGATGCCTATGAGCAGCCATCATAGGCACTAGGAAGTAAGGACTTCTGCAAAAGCAATACACCCTAAATGTATAGCCTAGGCTAGCCTCAAACTAGTGATCCTCCTGCCTCCACCTCCTTCAGCAAATCCTTCCAGCGCACACAACTGGCACTGTACACACTCTTAACCACTGTCGAGCCTTCCAGCCCCTCTATTTGTATTTTCACTTATGATTTACAATATTTATTTCTGACTGCACTGTTCACTGTTTTACTCAGTTCAGAACCGTGTGTCATTAAGTGTGTGTACTCCACCTTAATTACAATTCCAACTATACCCTTTTGTTCAGAAGTCAGATCAAGATGACCTAGCAGAGGGCATATGCTGTGAGACAGAGACAACTGATACAAGCTGCCAGCCACCATGCTTGTACCAGTGGTCATCAGTGAGGTTTCCTGTTGTTTGAAGAAAATAGAGGACCTTAGAACCTTTCCGCACAACATCAGAGGTGTTCCCAGATAACTACCTGAAGGCGCAGGCTGGAGGGAACTCACTGGGAGATGGCTGACCTAGTCACGTGGAAGAAGCTCCAAAGTGCACATGCGCCAAGAGCACAAGCTCTCAAGTTCTACCCTATTAGTATTCCCTAGCTATATAAATTCCCCAAACATGATTCAAGACTCCCCCAATGTAATCAAGAACCACAGGCATCCAAATATAAATTTGTGAATTTTTTCTTTACAAGAAACATAGAAATCATTATAAAGTTGTAAGATTTCAAAAACAAGTTTTCTTCCGTCAAAGAGTGTAACAATAAAGAAAAGGAACATTGCAGCAGAGGACAGCAAGGCTCTGCAGCCACGGAAATCATCAGAGAAACCACAGGCCAGGCAGGTCCTCAGGACAGGGTTACTGGACGCCATTCACAGCAATTTCATCAAGGTCTTACTACTCTTAAAGGGTTCTGCCAAAAACAAGTATCTTTAATGAGATTAAATAAATCAAAATATTACATTACAACTGAGTTCATGATATGTAACATCAGTAATCCGTTACATTGAGGATGTTTAGGTTTCCAAGCACAGGTCCCTTTGTTACGTCTGTATGTACAGGTAGACATCAGCCCCTACCCTCAGCCTACAGTATCTTCCGCCTGTAGTTCTCCACACCTTACTACAACACATTCCTCTTCACAGCTCACCAAGTGACACACTATTTTTTGTTGAATATAATCCTGGCATAGACTGCAGGCCAAACACTGAAGACAACTTCACAGCGATATTGAATACACATTTGTCATCTTGCTCACTCTGAAAAGCCATGTGGTACAGCAGGGTCTGACCCAGAAAATAACTCCTGCACTACACTGCTTGCAGCCTTTTCTAGATGAACAAAGCCACGTGCGGCACTGTACAAACTTGACTTGGGAAAAAGATCACACTAGGTAAGTTTTGTTTGTAAATTTTAACAATTTAGAAAAATCAGAATGCAACATTTCATGCCTATATTTTAAGGCTACTGAGACTCAAAAGGAAACATTAGAAATTATAAAATATTCTCACCTTTTTTATTACAAATAAAAACTCTGCAAATGGTATCTATATTAAAGCTGCAATGTTAGAATTGAAAAATGCCCTACACCAGGTCACAAGATTCAACAATTAAGGAAAAAATATTTATGCACAAAGATTTTTCCAATTTTTTATTATTTTATGAAATGGAATAGAAAAATATCTTAAATTAAAACCCCACAAAGTGCCATTCCTCTAAAAAAAAAACCCTCCAAATAATATATGGTTTTAATTATTCTTTATAAATAACCTCTCTCTATATATTATTATGTATATGTATTTCTGCAACCTGAGGCCTCCGTAGACACATCAACATGTCAGGTTTTGCATTACAAATCTAAACAGGCTAAAATTTGGTTTACCTTTAGAACCTATACAAGGATTATAAACAAAAAATTAAAGTTGTGACTACACAGCCACTCAAAGCGTATTTAAACTAGCTCAACCACATTTACCCATTCTGATATTCACCCAACATTAAATATTATCTCATAACTACTGTTAACCATGCATCAAGAAAAATAATTCAAAAAGTAAACAACACATTTAAACTATGGCAAATTCTACCTTTTTAAGAGTATCTGCATGTTTAAAATTTGACTGATATGTCTCTTTACTTGAGGCTGGGGCAGACAGGACAGCTTCAGAGTTCTCTCCTCATGCCACGTGGATCCCAGGATGTAACTCAGACCGTTAGGCCTGTCACCAAACACTTTTACTGTTGAGCCACTTCGATGGCCCCTACTTTATTAATATGTAAAAGAGGGGGAAAAAAACTATAGCTACCAACATTTTTTTGGTTTGTTCTGACTCAAGGTACCACTCTGGCCTCGAACTCCTGGTAATCCTCCTGCTTTGTCCTCCCAATTGCAGACTTAGTCAGTGCACCCAGATTTCTATTGTGAATGAGTTAGACACATTTGAAAATACTTGAGGGTTAATTATTGTCCACTTTATTTTCCTTTCATCTGAAATTCAGAATTAATGTGTAACCACATTAGTGTATGAAAAGGTTTAATAGAAAAATAAAGAACTTTAAAATTTTACAATATTTTGTATTTCAAGATTCTTTTAGATAAAACCAATGTTACTTGTGGTTGAAATACAGAATCCGATTTACAGATTCTCATTTAATCCCTGTAAGACAAAACACAATTGGTAAAATGGTGGGTTCTCAACATTAAGAAATCCAACATGGAAGCTCCACCCAAATGCCATGTGTCGCCGGTGCCTATGGGAGTGCTTCCTGCAAAGTGTATGAGATGGCCTTCTCGGGAACTTAGACTGTGCACACTACTAATGTTACAACACTGCCATATTAAGTACAAATAAATTGTATGGTCTTTGTTTACTGCTCCAAAATTTTTATCAGCTATACAAACATCTTTTTATGATGCAGACACTAAATACCTCAGGCTTGCAGGCCCGAGGTCTCACTACTGCAAAATGTAGGGGAAAATCAAGTAACATACATGAAAATGAATAAATGTGCCTGTGAACTATAGACTGTCCAATGCTGGATGGACTAGACATGGATTTGTAAACAGAAACATATTCCTAGGCCCACCACAAAATGTCATATGTGGGCACAGGAAGAGCACACAGCTGAGGAAGACAAGTTGTACAACTAGCTTGCTTACTCCATAGTCTTCTTGGTATGCCAGTAACAGTGTCAAACCCACCTGACATGAGAAGTAAAGGGACCATGAATAACTGAGTACTCAGAAGCTAATTTAGATGTCAAAACTATATTGCTGGGTATTGATTAGCCTCTGAGTACTCAGTTATTCTAGTTTTGACATCTAAATTTTTCTATACAATGTCAGTAACTAATCTGCTCTATATACACTAAAGAATGTTGGATGTGTATTTCCAGATGTCATCTGAAAATTAAATTGTTACAATTTGAAGCTAAATGTGATTTGCTTTGTTTTATTAGAAAAAATACTCAAGCAAAGTCTACAATCATCGGTCAATTAAGAATTAAGAATGACTTACAAGAACATGAGACAGTAAAATAAAAATGCAGGTACAAACTATGTCTGAAACACTTCTATTTGGCAATGTTATAACAAACCAAAATTTAAAAAGAACAAAGGAGATTGCAGAGTACTTCGCAGATATAGAATAAAACAAATGAAGTGCTTAAGCAAAAGAAAAAAAAAATAGTAAGAACACACTGCTTTTCTTCTTTTGAAAATAGACTCCCTTTTGCTACAGAGCACATTAGACGGCCGTTCCAGAGTGTCCTCATTGGCAGTGCTTTCCCGTGGGTCCCTCAGCGTCGATGACTCTCTCCATGTCTACCTCTTTCCCTGGTCCTGTTCAAGCCTCCAATACTTTTAGTACCTTTTGGGTTTGTGGTTTTTCTTTTTAAAGCAAATGAGAACCCTTCCCATTTTGGAACCAAAGGTTTAATTTTATATTGTTTACTTTCTTTTAAAAAACTGAGTGTAAAAACTGCTGGTTTTCCTGTCAGTGTAGGAGTGGAACTCCCGAGGAGGCGTGCTTCTGCAGTCTAACTGCACAGCACACGCTTTACAGGATGTGCTCCCAACAGCAGGGACAACCACCTCAGTCACTGTCAGGGGAGTGCCATAACCCTCCAGGGTGGGTCTAGGTCCTCCCTCACAGACGTTCTGGAAGGATGTCCAATGCTTTGTTCTTAGACATTAACAGTAGTACACAGTCCCTTCAGTCTGCAAAGACATCTCTTGTTAAAGGTGCTTTGTTAGCAATCCCTCTGGCAGCACTAGTGAGTTACAATTTCCTTCAATATTATTTCTACCATAATATATACATTAACTTTCATGCCTCTAGAAAACATCTACAGTACATTTCATAATAGAAAAATATATTACAAATCTGCTCAATTATTTACAAGCAACACTCTATTATCTCTATGCAACATTTGTTTGATACAGTACTGACAAGTTACACATATTTTCCATTTCTGTAAAGTTAAAAAAATTCCATATGGCTTCTTGCTTGCCAAGCAAGAAAGTGATTTTATTTTCCTTTTCAAAACCAACTTTGGTGCATAAAAGATTAGGTTTGAAGATACTTTAAAAAAAATACTTTTTTTTCTTTTACATTAAGAAAAAAAACTCAAAAAACCAACACTTTCCTCAGGAAAAAAAAATAGAGTCACAGGTTAAATGAAAATATGAAGATTATTCAAATAATTTGAAATTGCGGTTTTTTTCAAAAACCATTAACAAGAGTAGTTATGTAGGTAAATATAACACACTGTACCCCATGAAAGACCCTAGTCCTGAAAAGGGAGCCAACAGACATACGGCAACACTCTTTAACAGTAATTCTCAGACCTAATTCAATAGACGAATTTTTAGTTGATTGCAAATGTCGTTCACTGTTTGCTTAAATACAAACTGAACATTTTTCTTATCAGAGTTCTGCAAAAGAACACAAATGGCAACCAATCACATCTATTTATCATAACTAATAGGTCAATTATCTCTTGATAATTTCCACTGTCTAAATATTTTCTATTAGGACTTCAAAGCAATACACACTGTCAAGATGAGTATCTTACAGTGCTTTTGGTATTTTTAAGGTCAATTGTTTGTCTTTCCAATAAAACCACTGTCATCACTAAGGGGGAAAAAAAGCAGCTGAAGCAGCGAGCATGCAAAGCCTTTCAGAAGCTGTTCAACCGAGTTGCCAGAGAGTGTCTGCGCAGTCTCCCACAGCGTCATTCCATGACATGTGGACTACAGTAATATATTAATATATTCCACAGAAGACCTACTTCATTCACAGAATGTCCACACTAAGCATAAATATTACTCTAAATACTGGACTTAAAATAAAAGAGGAAGGGGTTGACTCTAATGTGCAACTTTCCCTAAGCCATTGTCAGTGACTAAGACTGCAGGTGGCCCCGCTTGTTTGCTTTTATGTATTTATGTATGTTTTACCTCTTCAACCTCTTCTGTGGCATTGTTCTAGAAAAAGAAAAGAAAGAGAAATTCTTTATTCAGTTGAATCAAAAACACTGAGTACTTCTAAAGAAACATTAAAAATCCTCGTAGATCTGAACGCAGTGGATTTCCAAGTGCTGCTACAGCAGGCCTTCAGTCCCAGCTACTCAAGACTGAGGCAGGGGAGTGCTTGAGCCCAGGATTTCAAGGATATCTGAGGCAACATAGAAAAACCCTATCCCAGGAAACGAACATATATATTGAAAACAGAAGTAATTATTTTTAAGTGTACAGATATAATGAATATAAATTTATTTACATAGTTTTTAATAAAAAATCTCTATAATCTGATGTTTCTATGTATCAAGAGTTCCACATCTAACATGCATTTTTAACTACTACTTAAATGTATATTTAAATTTCAAAGAAATGCTCTTATAGTTTCATTGCAAATAAAGTGTATTTCTAGTGGAACATTTCATTTTGAGATGTTAGCAAGAAATCATTCCTCAAAAAGCAAGTTGAAATAATTGTTTTTTAGTCAAATTCCAGACCCTTAAACCCAAGAAAAACACCAAGAAACACGCAATCCTTTATGGCTGTACTATATTAAAAACTCTCTGTTCCAACTACCAAAAGAGAAGAAGCACCAAAGACAGAATTGAGTGCTAAGGTTCGAGGGAAAAGGGGTTAACTTTGGCTGGTTGTTTTCACAGCTAACATACAAGCCAGGTGTGATGATAACTATAAACCAAGTTACTTGGGAGACTGAGGCCAGAGAATGTGGAATTTCAGGATAGTCTGGGCTACACAAAAGCAACTAATGTCTCATGAACATCCTCATTTCCCAAGAAACCTTTTAAAAAACAGAAGAATCAAATATCTTGAACCAGCCAAGTAGTTCTATCAACTACTTCTGAGCATAAATCCCAAGCATGGAGAATATTTTAAATCATCTTCACTAAGACATCTTAAACTGCGTTGTACAAAGCACAACAGCACAAAAATAAGTTGATGTGTCAAAAAAAGAAGAGAACACAGGTTAGAAGCACGGAGACGCATCCCAACTGTCAACGCTAAGGGTGTCTATGCCGGTTCTAAAAGCAGACGAGCTCTCCCAGAACACTGCTCTCCTAGGTGCCAGTTTCAATTATCCCCCCAAAGTCAGCAGAATCAAATCTAAGTTATAGAACAGCAAATAAACTCAATCATCTTTCTTTTAAAGTATGAATTTCCCATATTCTTGGTATGATTTTCTCAGTACTCTCTCCTTTACAATCGATCCCATTCTTCAAAGAATATGCTTCACTGCAATACAGTACCTTCCACAAAGGATATTTATTAAGGGGGAAAGTCGGGAAAGCTCAAGAGCCCATGAATGTTCTAACTTTGCTCTCTAAAGAATGCCTCAAATAAGAATCCTGACACACTGAAAAGCATCACAACCAGGAGAGTCACAGGAGGAGCAGAGCCTCTGAAGTTATTTTTGATTACTGTCTTAGGGACAGGGCTATAAACCAGCTGGTAGGATGCCGGGTCCCGCAGTTTAATCCCACTACTCTAACCTATACTACTCCAAAACATCTCATTTATGACAGTTAAAAAATATGCCAGGTGGTGGTGGCACACATCTTTACTCTCAGGGAGGAGGCGGCAGGTGGATCTCTGAATTTGAAGGCCAGCCTGATCTACAGTGCTAGTTCCAGGACACCAAGGCTACAAAACATCCGGGAATTATCAGTATCATCTTACTTCTGGCCAACCCATTCTATGAGAAATACAATAAACGTGTCTTCATTTTAAAAATATGAATTCAAGTGCCTTTTTAATCACTGGTTTAAACACCTAAGTATTTAGTCTGTTACTTGGATAGAGCATTCACATGTGACCTTGGACTACCTACTGCAGTTTCCAATCTATATGTGGAGACACTGACACCAGCAGACAGGCTGCTGCGATGAGTACTAAGCACTCACAAAAGTGACTTCTCACCTAAGAAAAACTCCTGGCCACTTCACTTCTCTTCCTAGCACCACCATCTAGAATAGCCAGGTCAACCCAGCTTAGAAACAGGAGCCTCTGAAATCCTTACGAAGCACACTGCTACCTAAACTGCTCTTTGGAAAAGTTTGTGGAGAAAGGAAAGAAGCACGTGGCATTTAGGACACATTCATTTTATTCTCCGGCCCACAAAATTATGATTTAAATACAGATAGCCACATCTGTTTAAACTAAGGCTTGCAATGATTAACAAGAATGTGCACATATCTGAGTGAGGGACTACTATGTGCACTGGTGTCCATGGAGCCAGGTGCGAGATTCCCCTAGATCTAGAGCTAATGTGGGTGCTGACAACTACTCTGCGGTCCTCTGCAAAAGCAGTCATTTCCCCAGCCTCAGTATCACATTTTCAAAATAATTTCAAAATATTTGTGTATCATAATCTAAGCCATTCAAAATAAACTTAGAATTAAACATGCATATAAACTATATCAAAATACTGTTTCTGGATTCTAAAACTCTTAGCTCTTTGTGATATCACACCCACACTTTTAAAAAGCACAGAATGCCAATGTGCTATAATAGTGAAGTAGCACTGACTACATAGCAAGTCTGGGTAGCATGACCTACATTAGACCCTGTTGCCCACAAACCCTGCACCCCTCAAAAAAGTAAATAAAAAATACTACAAAGTCTATTGGACAGAGAAACCCAGAACAAGTTGATCATCTCAAGTCCAAAAATCTACTACCCGGATGTAGATTCTGAAGGCAGAATCATTAACATGATTTTGAGCATTCTGATGAAAAATGCTAAATTAGTCATGTCTAGGTAAAATGAAAACATATCCCGCATTTTGGATAAAGAGAAATCAATATGTACTGGAAAAAAAAAACAACCCCAACTTATGCAAACTTCAAGATAACAATTCAAAATGGAAAGCATATTGTCATGAAGTCAATTACCTGTAAATGTTTGGGTCCAACAGCAAGGCAGTATCTTTGGGCAGCTTTGATAAATGAACTACTTTAGTTTTTAACTGATGTCGTTCACTTTCATTCACCCACACATCTGGCAGACTATGAATTAAAGAAAAGTCAATAATTTGTAATTGTCCCCGACTAATTGTCCCTCGGTCTTCATACTCCCTAGCCTTTCGTGCCGCTTTGACAGGGACACCTATGTACTTCTGCAAAGACAGATGTGTCAGGTCATCTATACTCAGGAGCCAGACACAGACCGTGGCACACAGTAGGACAGACTATGAATTTATATAATGTGGCTTCTAACTGAGAGAAATTAATGAAAATCTAACTATTTCTTCAATAACAAAGGAAAACTTCATGAATTCATGAACTCAGCAGTACAGCAAATACCAAGAGTACCAAGGACAGAGAGGCCTCCTCATGATACTGAGCCCATATGAAAGGAAAGAAAATAAAATTCATATGTAACCAAATTCTGAATTTGAAGAATCTTACAGAACAAAGTACTTTAATATCTATATTGTTCAATTTCCACAATAGTAGGATTACAAAGGCATTTAAATTTGACATGTTTTTAAAGATTTGTTTTTATTTTATATGTATGAGTGTTCTGTGTGTGCCTGTGTACTATGCGTGTGCCTAGTGCACAAGGAGGTCACAAGAGGGTGTCTGGAGTTATGAAAAAACTGAGGAGCCACACACCATGTGGGTGTTGGGTATCAAAAAGCTCCTCAAAGATCATCAACAAAGAATAGATCTAAAAATATGTTTTTTAAAATAAGTATCAAACAAGGAAGGAATGTAATACAAGCCTTGAAATAGAAAACAGAAGCAAGAACTCAAAACCTGCCTAGGTAAAAAGAAAAACAATCAGTACAAGGCAGACATAGTGGCTCACATCTATAATCCCATCACTTAAGAAGGCAGAGGCAGGAAGTTCATGAGTTCACCGATAGTGGCTTATTATAAAGAGACCTTATCTAAACTAAAACTTCCGATATTTGCATGGATGTTACCCATGTAGCAGCTTTCTGAATGAATGTAAGACCCACTCGACAAAGATGGTTAATGCTGGCCTCCTAACCTGGCCATGCAGCCATGGCAGAAAGGGTCAGAAGCCGCAGGGGGAACCTGCTGAACTGAGGGGACACCTCTCAAGCTGCCCTGAGTTATATGCACTGACTAGTGCTCCTCTTAGCCCTCATCAGAAGCTTCCTTATCCAGTGGGTGCAGTGAGCTAAAAAAAGTATAAAAAGCTCCTAGAACATTCAGTTGCCAACTCGACAGCCTCAAAGCACAGTACAATTCAATTTCTCTTAAGATTTCTATTTAAGAAATAGAATTTCTCTTATTATTTCTATTTAATAAGTTAAATAATTTTTACACTCAAGATTTTGAAACAGGGTTTCTCTGTGTAATAGCCCTGGTTGTCCTGGAACTTACATTGTATACCAGGCTAGTCTCAAACTCAGAGACCTCCCCCCCTGTGTCTGCCTCTCAAGTGCTGGGATTAAAGGTGTGTGCCACCTCCAGCTGGCAAAATAAAATTTCTTACATACAGTGAAAACACTTACATATCTTCAGGCGTCCAATGAAGCAAGAGCTTTATCTTTCCAGATTCTTCCTTTCTCTTCGCTATTACCTAGTAACATTACAAAAAGAAAGAAAGGACAAAACTATGAAACACCATTTTTCTACACTATTAGGAAGTACTTGAAGTGGCCATGCAGCAGCAAAGGCACTGCCACTACAAAATTCTTATCATTGCTGCTTTGTACACTCCAACCTTTTCCCACAACACTGAATTCGCCAATAGGGCCTGCACTAATATGAAAACACCGAAACATATATTCATGATTTTAAAATAAATAAATGAATTTTTTAAAACTACAAAACAAACGTTAAAGCAACTAACGGCTGTGAAGATGGGTCAGCAGTTAAAAGCACTTTCTACAAAAGTCGAGTTTGACCCTTAATCTACATGGAAGAAAGTGAACGAACTCTCAAGTGTCTTCTGATCTCTACAAGAGGAGATGAAGAGAACAAAAAAAAAAACAAAGAAGCAATAATTAATGCCAGAAACCAGGCTTAGTGGCACACACCTATAATCCCAGGCAGGAGGGTCAAGGAGTTCAAGTCTATCCTTGGCTACATGGTTGGCTTCTAAATAACCTGGGCTACAGGAAACCCAAAACTGCTGCAGAGAAAGAACCTACTTTACAACTGAGACATCTTTCTGCTGGGTTTACTGCTGTTCTTGGTGGGCCAATTCATCTTTAAGTCTACCCCACAGTAACCTATGGATCTAGACAGTGTATTAAACCAGTCACGTTAGCAGTCTGAAAACCAAGGTGACACTTAGTGTTGGACAACTCCTCAATGTCCACTCTGACATTGGTGCTTTAGCGTGTTTTGTTACAATGTACCAAACACCATTTTCCAAACTCAAGTTACAAACACCCAAATACATACCACAATGTTATTCTGAAAATATATCGAAACTGAAAAGAGAACTTTAAATAAAAAACAGTTACTTCCTCCATTATATAAAAACTGGTGATTGAATAAATTCCTAATTTTAGACTTGGCAATTAATGAAAGCTCAAAAGTAGATTTGGAAATACTAAAGCAGAACCCTACAAATGACAGAACAGAAGCCAAGCAAGCACAGCAACCCAACTGGAAACGAGGGTTCTGCTGACCTCTTCTGGAGAAAACTTCAATTAATAAGACATGCACTAACACACGAAAGCAGTCTAAACTGTTTCATGACCACTAAGGTTATTTATATATGACAGTATATATAAATCCTATGACAGTAACAGGGAAATTTACATTTGCAGTTTGTATTAAGCATTTCCACTTAAAGTAGATGTTTTGAGATAGTATCTCGTTATGTAGACCGGGCTGACCTAGAACTCAAGAGACTCGTTTGTCTCTGTCTCCCTAATGATCAGATTAAATGTGTTGCTTCCTGGTGAGTGTGTGAGTCTGTGTTTTAGCAGGAAGCCAAAGTCAGGCGTTTGAAGCCAGCCTGTTATAGACTGTGTTCCAAACTTTTTTCTTATTTAAAGGTGGTTTATACTTAACATACACTGGTATCCACTATCAACAACTCAAAGTGTTTGCCTTAACCTCTGGAGCTATGACATTCATCCCTCAAAACCTGAATGCAAGAAATGTCATTATAGGAGATATAGTGAGAAGCCAATCTATGATCTACTCCAACAATTAATACTTCAAATCTCCATTTTGCTGAAATAGAAAGAAAAAGTTGCCCAATTCTAGCTTATGTATTTCAAAATGAAAACTAAGCTAGAGAAATGGTAATTGGTAAAGACACTTGCTACATAAGCCTGGAGATCTGAATGTCATCCTTAGAAACCTATATGGGTGAAGGAAAGAACTCTGCCCTCCTCACATGCATAACAGTATGTGCACTTGTACACATATCACAATTCTGCACAATCAAGATTTCTACCAGAGAGAATGCCCACAAACCACAAGAGGGTGTTGGTTCCCATGGAGTTGAGTTACAGATGGCTATGAGCCACCTGACACAGTGCCAGGTCCTCCACAAGAGCAGCAAGCACTCTTAACTACTGAGCCATCTCTCCACAGCACCGATGATAATTTTAAAAGACAAAATTACACATTCATTTTTCCAAGATTTCGAAATGCCAGAAGTCTAGAAACCTTTGCAAAACTACACCCACTGACTGCAGAGACACAAAGGTCTCTTTGGCTGCCCTTGACGAGAACTTGAGTTCAGATACCAGCAACCATTCTGCAGCGTACAAATGTTTGTGAATCCAGTTTCATGATATTCGATCTTCTCAGACACCAAAAACACATGGTACACAGATGAACATCCAGGCACATATACATGCACATAAAATTAATTTAAAAAAAAAAGAATGGACAATAAAATTCCTAGCTAACCAAAGACTAACTGATCTTACAGCTTTGCTTTTTCAAAATGGCATTCTCCTTATTCTGAGTTGAAGGCCTTAGTCCCTAGAAATAGTGACACTTCACAGTGTGCTGGCCAGCCACAAGTCTAGAAAACAGGGCTATACCTGTGAAACAAAGCACATCTAAATATCTCTTCCTGCCTCATGATTTGATGACCTCAATTACACCTCCACCTCAGCCCTGCCTGGCTTTGGTTTCTGGTACTAGGGGCAGGGGACTGAACATATATGTGTGTGTGTGTGTGTGTGTGTGTGTGTGTGTGTGTGTGCGTGCGCGCGCGCGCGCGCTAGGAAGTGCTCTATCATTTTGAGTAACTCTGCTGCCTGATCTGGCCTGATACTGATTCTGTAGTTCAGGGGGGTCTTTAACTTAAGAGTCTCCTGCTTCAGCCTGCACAGTATCACCACATCCAACATATTTTATGACTGTTAACAAAATTTCCTAAATTTTGAGCAATTTAGAAATATAATCGTGAAAAACATACGTTTCCCTCCAAATCCACATAATTTGAAAGAAAAACAGAATACTTACAGTACTATGAAAAACAACACTGTGTCCCTTCCCTAAACTTTCTATATGAGCCGAGAGGTTAAAGCATATGGCTCGATGTCTTATGGCATCCAGTGTTTGTGCATCGAAGAAATCATGCGGTCGTGCTAAAAGTCAACAAACACAAAAAAGTTAATGACAGTTTAGAAAATTTCAACAATCTGCTAAACGCTCAGGTATTTACCAAACCCAGGAGAGCGCTGCTTTAACTGGAGGGATTAGCAAAAGCAAGTCCTGCCCAGTGCCTAGTTGCATGTGTCTTTGAGTTCAGGGTAGAGCTCTGATAAGTTGAGGACAGGCAGAAATCCAATTATCAACACAGCAACTTCTTTATTCCCCCAGCTTCTTGCCCTCACACTCCAGCAGCTTTATTTTTTCATAAAAATCCTCAAAACCAAATTGGATTTTCAGCAATAACCATTTCACCATCACCAGTACAACAAGGAGGTTTCAAACTTACCTTGTAATTTCATGAACACTATTTTTTTATGTTCTCAAAATCTTTCCAAATTTGTGGCAAAGAGGCAATATTAGTTTCAAGCTTTCAACCAGCATTTTCTTGATAAATAATTGTCCCAAGTAAAAACAATTTAAGAAAAATTGCACATAAAAATTTGAGATGGCACCTATGTTGCCAATCAGCCTTGGAACACTAGAGAGCTCAAATAATCCTTTCAACTTTAGCCAGATACAAGCCATTGCACTCAGCCAAATAATTAACTAAAATCCTAGGGACTGAAGCCAGAGCCTCTGACATGTAAGACAGGCGCTCTACCCCAGCAATACATTTCTAAATAACAATTTATTAATTCAAAGTCTCAACCAGTTCTCAACTGTGTAACTGTGCACATGACTAAACCTTCATTCATAGATTTTTTTTTTTTGTCTTTAAAATCTTTGATCTCATTATATAACCCAGGTTGGTCTGAAATGCCTTATGCAGATAAACAAGATTGGCCTCAAACTCACAGCAATCTTTTTTAGTATATCAAAAATAAAACCACAGTTAAGCCAGGTTCAGCAGCTCACTCTAAACTCTTGGGAAGAATGAGTGCAGGGTCAGGATTTCTGCACCAAGGTCCATTCTCCAGACCCTCAGAAAAGGCAGTCTCCAAACAGTTAAGTATTGATAACACTGATTCTAATCCAGCCTTTACTGGAAAGAAGACAGGAAAGAAGTAATGTTTTAGTTCTACTGAAGACCTAAGATGGGTGAAATAAAATGACTGCAATGAATTCCCTGAGTAAAATGCTGACAAACTGACTCTCAGAATTCATGCACGGATATGTGTTTAGAGGAAAAATGGAATTCAAACCACAGCACTAGCTGTCTGAGCAGTGGTCCCCAAAACTGAAAGGCTCTGCATGTTTTAAAGTTGAGAGTAACATCCATTCATTCTCCCCAAACAAACAAAACCCACAACAGTAAGAAGTGCTTCCACCCACACCTGTAACTAGCACTCGGCCCACCTCAGCAGCTGGCCTTAACAGAAACTGCAGGTCAGAGCACCATCTCCTCAAGCAACACATATGCCAGTCCTAAGCACAACTGGGTACTGAACTATGCCCACTTTCAGTTTCTAAGAATGTTCAACAGGCAGAAGTGGGATCAGGGGATAAAGACTTGGAGGCCAGCCTGGGCTAGGCTGCGAGTGTCTTGAAAAGAAACCAAGAAGGGGGTCTAGATTAGTGGCACACAGCTATAACCCCAGCACTGGGAATCTGTGAGTTCCAGGCCAGCCTGGTTTACACAGTGAGACCTTGTCTAAACTAGGGTTTTAAATTGTGTAAGCATTGCTAAGTAGCAGGAACAGTGAATAGATTTTAATGGTGATATGGTGTGAAATAAATGGGCAAGCTCCCAGGAATTCAGTGCAATATTACACAGTTTTCTTTTTCCTGTATTACATTCAAGACGGAGGAAGGTTCATGTCAGTGCTTTGGTGAATGTATGGTCAGAGGGACAACTATTTAATTCTCTCCTTCCATCATGTGGGCTCCAGAGATCAAACTTACAGCATCAAACTGGTGGTAGGTTGGCCTGTGCATCAGCTCCTGCCTCTAGGTTACAGGCCTATCTTACCTCACTGATAGACAGTGTTGAGAAAATAAATTCTTACCCAAGGTATTTATGGTTATGGTATTGAGAATCCAACTAAGACAGCATGTCAAGATATTTTTACTTTAACAGTAGGAAATAATTTAGTAAAAGCCAAAAGAACTTTTTCCTTTGTGATCAATTCATTTGTTTACTGTCGCTTTGTAGTAACAGAAATACTTCAGTGTTTTAGAGCAGCATTAGAGCCCGAGGTTCTTCTCTACCGCACCGACCCAGAGTGAGGAGCCCACTGCTCACTACTCCCTTGCAGAACTCACTTTCACAACAGTCCTCCCTGCACCACTCACACTCAGTTCAGACTGACTGCCCGGTAGATCCAAAGATGAATTCATACCCTTAGCACTGCATGCCTATCTCATTATTTTGACCCTAAGAGTCAAAGGAGTATTTTATAACCCAAAATTAAGAACAAAATCCTCATGTTTATATTGCAAACATATATTCTACATTTTGGTTGATGGATTACTTAACTTTTATGATTTTTACTTCTGACACACTCGATATTTTTTAAAGTATTTTGAAAACAAACACTGTCATGTTTAAAATTTTTCTAATTTAAAATAAATCAAATTACCCTAGTATCTGATTCTCTAAATATATATAGTTTATATTCTAAGATCACATACATTTAACACTCTTTTAGCTTGACTTCTACAAAACATTTCTCACTAGGTTCTCATGCTGACAGGCAGGTACCGTATATTACTTCCCACGGATATCAACAAGCCAAACTCAATACCAGTAAAACTGGACTCGCAGAAAGCCCTTTTTCTACACAGAGGCTTTCTAAGTGAACACTTACGTAATGAGCGCCGTCTTTTGTTCTTTAGTTTCCTCCTCTTGTTCATTCCAGCTTTAGAAGGAGATTCTTCTTTGGCCTTTGGCTGGCTAGAAACTTTTGAGGAATTCTGTTGACTGAAGTGTGTGGGAACGTGGCGAGCAAGCCCTCCCTGAGAAGCAAAGCTGGCATTGCAGCCACCAACTACACACTAAAAAGAAGAAAGAAAGGGGCTGTCAAGGTTACGTATGAAGTGTGAGCAGAACTGCAGGCCAAGGATGGTTTTAGCAGTCAACTCCAGAACAACAGAACTGATTCTAGGAAAGAAACATGAAGCACTTTTTTTAGAAGCTTACTTTAAAAACAAACACATTATCTAACAAGTACACCACTTATCAGTGGCAGGGCTATTTCCAAACTTAATTTCACTGCTCTCTCCACTGTACAAGACCTACAGAAACAGTTTCCTAGGAGAGATGATTTTGAATAAACCATGTTTATAACCAGGATAGGAAGGTTACTTCCCAAAGGTTACTCCAATTCCTAAATACTGATGGTTTTTATTTAAAAAAACAAAACAAAACAAAACAAAAAAAACTCCCTAAAAGTCCTAGCTGGCCTGGAACTTACTATCTAGACCAGATTGGCCTCAAATTCAGAGATCCTCCTGCCTCTCCCACCAGAGTATTAGGATTAAAGCCATGCAGCATAACCAGCTGGGTGGCGGTGGTGCATGCCTTTAACCCCAGCACTTGGAAGGCAGAAGAAGTGACCTCTGAGTGTGAGCGTGTGGTATGTATCCACAAAACCTTTCAGATGCCTCGTTTTTCTCTGCTATTTAACAAGTAGGAAAGAAATTTGAAAATAAGAGTTTGAAAAGCTTTATGTATTTGTTAGACTTTCTAGATCCAATGTTATGTCAGAGGACATTCTCATAGATCCAATCTACTGTTTCTGACTTAGAAAATAAACTACAAATAAGTATTTAGTAAAGTTCAACACTAAAACGTTCAAAATACCATCCTCCATGTTTCACGGCTCTTCTATCCAAGACACTACCAATCCTAACTTTAAAAAAAAAATATATCAGCACATTATGCTATCAGTGAAAGTCCTAATTTTCTTCACGAAGTACCAAGCTGTGTCCTCACCTGGGTCTGCCATTACACATTCGCTGTGTATACAAGCCCCAATTCACACACTTTCAATGTATCTTGGAAATATGAACACCCTTATGCATATTTTAAGCCCAGAACACCTTGTGAATCACAGGCATGTTTTTGTATAGTAGTGGAAATCAACAGCTGTGTGTTTACAGAGTCTTTTAAAATTAAGAACAGCCCAAACATTCAACAAGCTACTTATATAGTGCTAATAAAAATGGTACCTAGTGTTATTATTAAGACTCTACACTCATGTTAAGTAGGGTTGGTACTATCGTTCTTCTTTGAAAATCTTGGGCCATTTGCTCAGCTATGTTCATAGCAGCATTATTTGTCATAGCCAGAACCTGGAAACAACCTAGATGCCCCTCAACAGAAGAATGGATAAAGAAAATGTGATACATTTACACAACGGAGCACTACACAGTGGTAAAAAATAATGACATCTTGAAATTTGCAGGCAAATGGATTTGATCTAGAAAAAAAACATATTGAGTGAGGTAACCCAGACCCAGAAAGACAAATATGTACACATCATGAATGGCTTTTAGACATACAACAAACAAACAAACAAACAAACCAGCCTATAGTCCACAACTCCAAAAACCTAGACAACAAAGAGAGACATACATGGATCAACATAGGAAGGAGAAAAAGACAAAATCTCCTAAGTAAATTAAGACTGTGGGGGTCATGGGAGAGGGTAGAAAGAGAGATGGGAGGAAAGGAGGGGAACAGAGAAAATGTATAGCTCAATAAAAAAACAAGAAGACTCTACACTCACTTTTGGGAGCTCAGTCAATGAGAAGGATGAATGATTGGAGCGAGCTATCAGTGCAAACACTTCCCAGTATGACTATCATACAAGGTACAAGAACAGGGACAAACAAAACAAACTTCCTGCCCAGAAAGGGTATCTACAAATTCAGCAAGACACATAGAAAAAATAACTGCAACAGCAGTAGAGCTAAACTCATGTAATTGGGTGTGCCTGTAGGTCAGTGATAGGTCCAAGCACAAAAGCCTTGAGTTTTGTCTTCAATACTTCAGAAAGAAAAATAAAAGAAGCCTGGCAATGGTTGTACAAACCTTTAATCCTGGCACTCACGAGGCAGAGGCAGGCTGATCTGAGTTCAGGACAGTTAGGCTATTATACAGAGAAATCCTGTCTTGAAAAACCAAAATTAAATTGGGTGATAGTGGCACACACCTTTAATCCCAGCACTCGAGCACAGGCAGGGAAATCTTTGTGAGGTCAGCCTGATCTACACAACTAGTTCCAGGACAGCCAGAGCTACAAAGAAAGGTCCTGTCTCGAAAAACTAAAATAAAAAAATATACATTGTAATGATCTTATCAATGGGACTATCCTCAGATAACTTTGTATTAAACGTAATTAGTAAATTTCAATTTTCAAAGGTGTCAATAACATATAATAAGAACTGGACATGGCTCGGCAGTTAGGACATAAAACCAGCCATACTGAACCTTATAAAAGAGAAAGTGGAAAGTACACTTGAACGCACTGGTACAGGGAACCACTTCCTAAATATAACCCCAGCAACACAGACACTAAGAGAAACAATTAATAAATGGGACCTCCTGAAACTGAAAACCTTCTGTAAAGCAAAGGACACGGTAAACAAGACAAAACGACAGCCTACAGAATGGGAAAAGATCTTCACTAACCCCACATCAGACAGAAGTCTGATCTTCAAAATATACAAAGAACTCAGGAAATTAAACACCAAAAGAACACAAAATCCAATAAAAAAAAGGGAGTACAGACCTAAACAGAGAACTCTCAACAGAGGAATCTAAAATGGCTGAATGACACTTAAGGAAATATTCAGAATACTTAGTCATCAGAGAAATGCAAGTCAAAACAACTCTGAGATTCCATCTTACACCTGTAAGAATGGACAAGATCAAAAACACTGATGACAACTTATGCAGGACAGGTTGTGGGGAATAGGGAACACTCCTGCATTGCTGGTGGGAATGCAAGCTGGTACAACCTCTTTGGATGTCAGTGTGGTGATTTCTCAGAAAATTAGAAAACAACCTTCCTCAAGACCCAGTAATACCACTTTGGGTATATATTCAAAGAATGCTCAATTGTGCCACAAGGACACGTGCTCAACTGTGTTCACAGAAGCATTGTTCATCATAGTGAGAACCTGGAAACAACCTAAATGCCCCTCAAACTGAAGAATGGATAAGGACAATGTGGTACATTTACACAATGGAGTACTACACAGTAGAAAAAAATAACAACAGCTTGAATATTGCAGGAAAATGGATGGAGCTAGAAAACATTTTGAGTGAGGTAACCCAGACACAGAAAGCCAATTATCACATGTACTCACTCATAGGTGGTTTTTAAACATAAAGCAAAGAAAGCCAGGCTACAAACCACAATCCCAGAGAACTTAGACAACAACGAGGACCCTAAGAGAGACTTACATAGATCTAATCTACAAGGGAAGTAGAAAGTAGAAAAGGATCTCCTGAGTAAATTGGGAGCATGGGGACCTTGGGGGAAGATTGGGGGGGGGGGGAGATAGGGAGAGAAGCAGAGAAAAATGTAGAGATCAATAAGTAACAATTTAAAAAAAATAATCAGTTTCACTCTTGGGAAACATGGAAGTGAAAACAGAGAGCCACACAGAGCTTTGAAGAGTGCTTACCTAATGTGCAAAGGCCATTGTGGGAACACACACAGATGAAAGCCTGTTCTACCTTAACTGGAGGTCAGAGTTTGAGCTTATTTTTGCTCTCTCAAAGCTGTTTACAAACAAGACATTCTGACTATGGTGTGGTAATTAGTATTTTGGGTATAGAGGTGAATCTGCTCCACCTGGATCAAAGGCCGGAGAATTCAAATCTATTCCTTATATCATGTTAATGAAGTCTGTTGCATCCCCCTCCCCTTTTGGAGTGAAATATATAAGCATGTTGAAAATAAACAAGGCGAAACCAGTATTAACTGAATGTCCCTCCTGATGATGTTCTGTATTTCTGTCTCTTTTTTCTCTTATATCTCTGTTCCTTTTGCTTACTAATTCTAATCCTCATGCTCCTACCCTGGAATGTACAAGTCGACAGACCATGGGGTCACATCTCTGGAAAGATCAAAATTTAAAGCTATAACGAGGAAAGATTATTCAAACTTCTTAGCCAAAATCAGAAATGCTGGTAATATCAAGACACTGTGTAACAAAGAAAACCAAATGTGTGTGTACAATCTAGGTGGGTGGAAGATGTTCATAGGCAGCTTAATGAATAGTAGGCAAAGATGAGAAACAATCCACAGCCAGTAAGAAATAGGAACAAACTGACAGAAACACTATAGTTTAATGCTTCTGTGGAACCTAACACAGGTATTTCATAGAAAGGAAAAATGCTGCTTCATAAAATTTTGATCTTACCAATAACTTACTGAATGAAAGAAAAAGCAGAGCAGAAGGCTTATTCAACTAAAGCAAGGCAGCAGATAGCAGAATAGGAGTGACCTAGACAAGGGACAAACTGGTTAAAAGAATGGAATTTGTTTCTCAACACCAGTACAGCTTGTAGCTAACAGCTCCTGGGGAAATTCAACTCCTTCTTGGAGACACTGATCTCCAAGGGCAACTGCATTCACATGCACTGAATCGAGACACAGACACACTCTCAAAGACACATGGGAGGGGGTATACGGTAGGATACGCCTTTAATCCCAGCACTCAGGAGGCAGAGGCAACAAGATCTCTAAATTAAGGTCAGTTCGCTCTACATGGAGACTATCTCATAAAACACAAAATAATAATAATAAATAAATTTTTTAAAAGGTCAATTCCCTGAAGGAGAAAATCTATTTTTCCTTAATCACCTTTCTTCAGTGCCTGGTATATGCACTATCTAGACAGCACTGTTTCACTCATTTATGTGATTCCTACAGAGCAACCAAGAAAAGGGAGCTTGATTTGATGAGTACATGCTATATACGTGTGTTTAATTATCAAGCTGAACCCAACCAACAGAATTATTATAACAGAGAAAATATGGGTTTCTGTAATACTCTAAACACACTCCTAACATCCTTAGAAATACTGCCTTGCCTGTCTCCAGTGGAAGCTGGACACGGTGGCACATGCCACCTTAGAAGGCAGAGGCAATCAGATCTGTTATGAGTTCAAGGTCAGCTTGGTCTACTTAGCAAGTTTCAAGTCATCCAGTTACACAGTGAGAACATTAAAAAAAAAAAATCAACTCATAAGTAAATGTTTCTCAATCAAAAGCGGTATACATTCACATAATATAGGATATTAATAAGATAAGCTTGTTAAAACATAAATTAGAACACTTTAAAATAGTTCAGCAGAAACAAAAAATAGCTCATACTCTATCTTGTACAAGAGCAAGGCACAGGGGTAGGTGCCTGTTTTTGACACTCCGGCTGAGGTAGGCGTTTTAAGAGCAGCCTGAACTATACTGGGAGTTTCAGGTCAATGGGCTATACATATACAGCAAGACCTGCTCACAAAAAGTAGAGGGGGAAAAGAGGGAAGGGACTCTGACCTAACAGTGAATTTGCGATTCTTCAAACTCAATTTTAAATCTTTATCTCCAACTACTTTTGAAATCTAAGCACCAGTAAAAATGTTTAAACAAAGGGGTCTTTTTTAGAAGGCACCGGGAACAAGTCTGTGGGAAAATGCTTCAAAATCCTATGTTTGCACCTCAGCACTGAAAAGAAATGTTTAGAAGGGTCAAAGCATGCTCGTTACAAAGGTTAGCCAGGTATGGTGGCTCAGCCTGTAACCCAAAACACTGGAGAGGCCAAGGCATCAAGGCTGTCAACTTTGAAGCCAGCTTGGCTTACATTAGGAGTTCAGGATCACATGAGCTAAGATTAGAGTGAGAGCTAACCTTAAGGAGGAGATGAGCTCACGCGACTTTAGGAAGGCCGCACATACATACCTTGAAAGGTTTGTCTCCACTGTGTGTCAGCATGTGCCGCTGCAACCAACTCTGACTGGTGGACGGGGTGTTATACACCTTACAACCTTTCCACAAGCAAACAAACACCTGTAAGGAAACAATGGTTGTCAGTTATCTCAATAAAGACTCTGATCACTCAAAATTTCAAATATGATGAAAATCTTCAACTGATAAAAAAAGCCACTACTAATTGCACTCAATCAAAATACATTTAACTCTAGTTTCCCAACAGGGAGCAGTTTTGTCCCACTCAAGGCCAGGTCCTTTTCCCTCAGTAAGAAACTAGCAGACCCTCAGGATAAGGGCACACAAAAGATGACAACTTCCACACACTAAGACAAGCTCGCTTCTGTTTTTATAAAGGATTTGCTACTTCTCAATACTAGAAAAATATAAAAACTAAAAATAAACATTAACTAATAGATAAGCTTTTAACATCAAAGAAATGAGTCAAAAAATATATTTTTTGTAAGTCACATTCAAATTTTAAAAGAAATAAAAATTTTGGTATCAAGCTTTCTACTCATGGATTCCTATTCTGACATGCCTAACATTCTACATTCCTGTACTGTTCTTCCCATTAAGTATTTTTAGCTATCTTAATTCTGTAGCAAATATACAAAGCTAAGGAACAAAGACTGATCTTTCACTGTGAAGAACTACATTCTCAGCCTCAGGAAACCAAATCTGACCAGCTCTGGAAAATTCCAGCACTAGCAGCCTAGTCTTCCCTTCTGAGATTTCCGAAAGATTCCAAACAGTGGTAACTGTTCCATACACTGCAGTCTCTGAAAGAACTGGCACAGAGTGAGACCCTGCCTCAAAACAAAAACAAAAAAACTACTTGAGAATCTTCTTCCTACAAACAGAATCACTTCAGTACTACAGAGTACTACTCATATAAAAGACACCGAAAAACAGACTGCAGAAAAATATATTAAAGGCTGAGAATGCAGCTCTGCAGTAGAGTGCTTGCCTACCATGCACAGAGCCTGGGGCTGAATCCCAGGGAGCAACAAGAAAATAAAAACATAAAACATGGGGCTGGAGAGACAGCTCAGTGTGCAAGAGCACTGGCCCCTCTTACAGAGACCTGCGTTAAATTCACAGCACCCACTTGGTGGCTCCCATCAATCTATCTCCAGTTCTAGGAAATCTGACATTTTCTTCTGGTCTCCTTCCTTGCACACATTTGAGCATCCAGGTGCAGCAAGCATCTCAGTCTATGAGCTAATAACAGAAGTCAAGTAGACTCTGATCTACTCTGGCTTTTGGTTTTCTCAGGTAGAGCTGTGTGCCATTCTAACACAAGCTGGACCTGGTGACGCAGGCCTAACCCCAGTTCCTTAGCAGGTACTACAACATCTGGGACTTCTGTATGACTTGCCTAGCAACTGGAAAGTGAAGGCAAGGGGATCCAAAGTTCAGAAAGTCAATCTTTAGCTACACAGCACATCTGAGGCCAGCCTGGACTACATGAGACTGATCTCAAAACAGAACTTATTCTAACAAGGCAGCATCACTGTTGCCCTTCTAAACGACTGATCCCATGGTAATACACATAAATGTCAGTGCATTTCAAAACACTTCCTCTTCCTCCTCTCACTGATTTCTGGCCCTCCTATATTCATCCTATGTTTCACAGGTTAAGTTTTAAAAGTTCCTTTAAACACACCTGGCAGAGCAGGCCTATAATTGCAGCTGCTTAACAGGATGAAGCAGGAAGATGAGTGCAAAGCCTGCTTGGGCTATAAGCAAAGTTCAAGGGGTAAATCACAGAGGACTCATGTTCAATTGACCCACCAGAAAAACATTTCCAAAATTACTTTTAGACTGAGGTGGCTCAGTAGACAAAGGAATTTACTGCCTTGAGTTCAATCCCTAGACCCACATGGTGGAAGACCCAATTCTGGCAAACTTCATTTCTGATCTCTACCCCCTCCCCCTCTTCTCACACTAACACACACACATAGAAATAAACAGTGGGTAAATGTAATACAAACATATTTAAACAGATATTTAAGAGTTTACTTAAATCCACTGGGTAAAGTGAGCGGCACGCCTTTAAACCTATCACTGAGGAGGCAGAAGCAGGTAGATTTGTGAATTTAAGGCCAGCCTGGTCTACATAGTAAAACAGACAAAATTATAGAAATTCTAAGGCTTTGTGGCAGGCCCTGTAATACCATTAAGACACCTGTACTAACAGTCATCAAATGACATATCAAGTGACAGAATTTTTAGAAAGTTTCATCTAATGAGAGGGCTACCGAGATGGCTCAAGAGGTTAAGAGTATTTTTCTGCTCCTACAAAAGACCTGAATTCTGTGCCCAACACACGGTACATATACATATACTGAGGAAAATACTCATACACACATAAAATAAATATTAAAAGAAAAAAAGCCAGAGGCAGGCGGATCTCTGTGGGTTCGAGGCCAGCCTGGTCTACAAGAGCTAGTTCCAGGACAGCCAGGACTGTTACACAGAGAAACCCTGTCTCGAAAGAAACAAAAAAAAAGCCAGGCAGTGGCCAGCCGTGGTGAAAGAGAACAGAGCTCACCAATAGACCTAAGTGGAAGTATGCCACTTGACTGGTCATTCAGACATGAAACACTGGCACAGGCTTTTAATCCTAGCAGATTAGGAGGCAGAGGCAGGTACATCTCAAGAATTCAAGTCCACCCTCATATACAGAACAAGTTCCAGGGCAGCCAATGCTACACAGAGAAACCCTGCCTCAAACAAATGAAATATCTTGAACCACTAAAATTATATATATGGCTACTGCTAAAACTCAGGCATTCCCTCCTTTTCGGGATGCCCACACCCAAGCAGTATGTACTGTCCGTCCCTTTCCTGAAGAAGTTTACCTCTATTTCTGGATTAAATCTGTTTCTGTGTGTGTGTGTGTGTGTGTTTGATGTGTATCACAGCTCATGCAAGAAGAATAATTCTGTGGCATCAGCCCTTTGACATTTGCCTACACTCTTTGGATTTGAACACAGGCAGTCAGGCTCAGGATGGTCACTACCTCTCTTCATTGTATGTCCAGTCGGTTCCTGGAGGTTTTGTTTTTGTTGTTGGTGGGGTTTTTTTTTTTCGGGGGGGGGGGTTCGAGACAGGTTTCTCTGTAGCTTTGGAGTCTATCCTAGAACTAGCTCTTGTAGACCAGGTTGGCCTCGAACTTACAGAGATCCACCTGCCTCTCCCCCTGAGTACTGGGATTAAAGGCGTGTGACACCACCTCCTGACTGACACTGGAGTTACTGATGGGCATGAATGTAAACTTAGGTTCACTGCAAAAGCAGCAAATACTATTAAACACTACTATGCCAGCTGTCCAGCCCCAAAACTCTTTACTACTATTTTTCATTTTTTTTTAGATTTTATTTACTTTTATGAGCTTCAATGTTTTACCTTCAAGTATGTATGTGCACCATGTGCATGCCTGGTACCCTCAGAGGTCAGGAGAAGGCATTATACATGACTATGGACCACCATGTGGGTGCTGGGGACTGAATCCAGGTCCTTCACAAGAGCAGCCAGTATTAACCAGAGTCATCTCTCCAGCACTATGTAAATTATTATTGCATAGTATGCAGGCTTTTGTAACACAACATTCATTTGGAGGATACAGGACAGCTCTGAGCAAACCCCTTTACCCACTGAGCCATTTCACCAGCACATAAAATTTTTAATAAACAAAGAGGAAACTTAGTCTCACTTCATTTTTTCAACAAGATTCAAATAGCTGAGAATATTCACAAAGGCTGTGTGCTAATTTAATTCATAGGATCCAAGATTCAATTCTCTCAAGCCTACCAGCAAATGCTGAGTGATCTCTATGTAAACAGTGATCCTAAGTCTATATATAGTAGATAAATCAAGTGCCAAAACCGCTTATGCCACAGTAGGGAGTAACAAATACCAAACAGGCATGTGCTCACGAAAGGCAGTATGGTGGTACCCGACTGCAATTGGGACATAAAGCTAAGGCAGGATTGTGAATGCGAGACAGTGGGGCTACACAATGAGACTGCATCTGTAAGGGGGTGTTATCTAGCCAGGCAGTGGTGGTGCCTTTAATCCCAGCACTTGGGAGGCCGAGGCAGGCAGATCTTTGTGAGTTCGAGACCAGTCTGGTCTACAAGAGGTAGTTCCAGGACAGGTTCCAAAGCTACAGAGAAACCCTGTCTCGAAACACAAAAACAAAAACAAAAAAAAATTAATTAATTAAAAATTAAAAAAAAAGAGGGCGTTATCTGTCACAGGAAACCAATGTGGTTAAGATATGGTAAGATACTAATATTTGCTGGACCAGGTGGGGAACTGGATTTCACTCCAGTCAAAGAGATAAGGTGAACAGAGCTCACCGGTAGACCAAGTAGAAGTATGCCACTTGAGGGTCACTCAGACAACCATTTACTCCTCGGGTCCCTCATTATAAGGATGATTATTTCTTAAAAGAAATTTTGGTTAGTGTTTTTGATTTTTCTGAGACAAGGTCTCACTATGTAGCCTTGGCTGTCCTAGAACACACTATGTAGACCAGGTTGGCCTCAAACTCAGATGAGTTTGCCTGTCTCCCAAGTGCTGTGCCACAGTACCCAGCTTGAAAGGCAACCACACTGATGACAAAATGTTAGCCTAGTCTAGTCCCTGTGACTCAGCAGTGTCCCGAGTATGCCACCCAAGCATTCTCTCAGAGTTACACACTCCACCCCAATATTTTAAGTATTGATCTGACTCCAGGGAGTCACTCGTTTGAACTAAGGCAATTTAAACCACATTAGCAGTGAAGAAGACAACAACAGTAAGTTCGAGGCCAGCCAGGACTATGTAGTGAATGAAAGCCTATCTCAAACAAACAAAAACAGTAAAGGCAGACTAATAAGATACATGGCCTAGTATTATCTGTATTTACAAGGTAATATCAGTTTCTGGAAAAAATGTACTAACTATGGCCAACTAGACATAGTTGAGACTCAGGCAAGGCTATCCTAGACTACAGAGTAAGACTCTACACAAAAACAAAACAAAAAAGTTAATGTACTTTGAACTTGACTGGCTCTATATCCACTGTCCATCCCATGACATTAGATGACAAAATTAAATATACTCCGGAAGGTGCAGGTTAGCACTGACTAATCAGAACCTCCTCTTACATGAACCCCTGACCTAGGAGGGATGTACAGGCACTGATCACAAATGAGAAGCTCACTCTACAGTATGAGCTCCACGTACAGCCTGGCACCCTCTCTCAGGCTGGCCAAGTCCATCGTGCTGACTAAGGTTCTCCCAAGAGTCGCCAGGATGGCACTCATTTCCAGATGCTTTCCCTTCAGTGTCTGAACCTGGGACTCACTGCATTCATAAGAACTACAACTTTAAAGGGCTCATTTCTTCAAAACATTATCTAGGAGCAAACCAAAACCCAAAAAAATTACATATCCTACTTTCATATAATCCTAGCAAGTAACAGAAAATGAGGTGGGAAATTCCCATTTCCTTTCTTAAGAGAAAAATAAAATTCTATTAGCAATTATAAATGAATATAATCAAAACAGAATGAAAAACAAAATGGTAAAACCAACCCCTCCGCGCTGACCATCTACGTGTATGGAACGGATGTGGTCTGCCAGGTCTGGGCTGGAGTTGAAGCACGCCTGGCACTGGTCCCAACAACAATTATAGGCAATGTGTTTGCTTGAAGAAGTAGTGCTCCCTTGTCCATTCATCATTGCTGGAGTTGAACGTCCACTGGAAATTGTGCTGTCTACGTCCATTAGAGTACTGCTTATGCTACAAGAGAAGAAAAAGGCTGTTACTCCTAGAAATTTACCAACATAAATATGATCTTACAAATATTGAACTACATATAACATTCTGCTCTATACAAATAACAAAGTGACCAAAATTCTCCATTCAACTGCAACACTTTGAAATTAGCTGGCAATGAAGTATAAGGGCCTCAAAATTAAATACAAAGCTGGGTGCCATGGGTATTGACTATAATCCTAGTACTTGGGAGGCTGAGGAAGGATTGCAAGAACTTGAAGACAGCTTGAGAGACAGTAAGAATAAGATCCACTGTGAATAAATCTTAAAGGAGTGAACAGTGTCCAGACATGTAGGCAATAGGAGAACATTTCTTAGCATAAGCTAGACCCTACAAGTCAAACCATTACACACACTTATACACACACACACACATCACAGAATGAGAAAGAAAAAGAAAAGAAAAAACACAAAAAGGGGGGTGTAACATGAGGGGCATGCTTGTTGGGGTTTCTGTCCTGCCCAGGTATGGGTATCCCACAGCTGGCAAGCCCCAAAGAGAATTACACACAGGACTCCTTAAGATTATAAACTGATTGGCCCATTAGGTCAGGCTACTGCTCTTATAACTTATGTTATCCCATTATCCTTATCTACATTAGCCACACTAGCTTTATAGACCAGGCGGTCCTTGAACTCACAGAGATCCACTGTCTCTGCCACCCCAGTGCTAGGATTAAAGGCGTGTGCTACCACACCACACCTTGAACTCACAGAGATCTGTCTGTCTCTGCCTCCCAGGCATTGGGTTTAAAGGTGTGTGCTACCACACCTTAAAGTCACAGAGGTCAACATACCTCTGCCTCCCAGGCATTGGGATTAAAGGTGTGTACCACCACACCCTATATCTCCCTTTCTTTTTTATTTTTAATGACTTTAATCTTTTAGCCTGCATATATTTTTAACACACTGTAAACCATTCAGAGGTTTTCTTCGTCTTTGAATCTCTCTTTACTGTATATCTCTTTTTCTGACCACATGAGTCTTTAAGGAGAGGACTAAAACTGTGGCTTTTCCGGCTGGAATTAGCCCATTAGTTTTCCAGCCTCATGGCTGAGGTACCGACTTCAGCCATTTTTATTGCCACAACTCTATGGCGTTTCAAGGTCCTTGCCAGCAAGCAAGCTGCAGCATTCTGCTCACAGACCACACTCAGTAGGACTGCCTGCCTGAAAGAGTCAGAGTTTGCTCTGGCAGGACAGCCCAGAAAGCCGGCATTTTAAAATGGCACAGCTTTTTTCCTGCTACGACTGACAACCGAAAAGCATGCCTTCAGCTTTTCATCAACACTATTTAGGACCTTTTAAAAGAGCTGCAGGGTTTTGCAGCTAAAGCTGAGTCAGGAAGCCTCTCTTAGATGAGAGCCTTGCTTGCCTCTAGCAAGCAGAGCAGACCCAAGAAATTGCTGCTACCAAAAAAACATGCTTTACTCTATTCTATCCCAAACTTTCTCAGGCTTTCTGTGGATTCAGTTATCCACGTCTGGGCGCCATATGTAACATGAGGGGCCTGCTTGTTGGGACTTCTGTCCCGCCCGGGTACCCCACAACCGGTAAGCCCCAAAGAAAATTACACACAGGACTCCTTAAGATTATAAACTGATTGGCCCATTAGGTCAGGCTACTTATTAGCTCTTATAACTTATGTTACCCCATTATCCTTATCTACATTAGCCACATGGCTCCGTACCTTTCTCAGCTGGGCAAGTTACATGCTGCCTCTTCGATGGTCTGCACAGGAATGGCTGAGGGAGCTTTCTCCTCCCTAGCCTTATCCTATTCTCATTGCCCCGCCTCTACTTCCTGTCTGGTTGACCCGCCTATACTTCCTGCCTAGCCAATCAGCGTTTTATTAAAATACATGATTGACAGAATACAGATAATTCTCCCGCACCAGAGGGGGGGGGGGGATGAGCTAGGGGCATAGCTCAGGAGGCTTACCTAGCATGCATGGACCTCCTGGGTTCAATCTCTAACACCACATAAACCAGGCTATAATCCTACTACTTAGTAGGTGAAGATAGAAGAATATGAAATGCAAGATCCCCCTCAGCTACAAACAAATTAAAAAGAAACACTCACTTTGGAACTGGGAATGGGAGTTCACACCTGAAGGGCCGAGGAGAGGATCACCATGGTCAACCTGGGTTACAACCTGAGACTATCTCAAAGCAAAACAAAGTAACATCGATAGAGCTGAGGGACACAGCTCAGTGACTAGGCACTTGTTCAGCATGCTCAAGACCTAACATGAGGGAGCGAACAGACTCCTGCAAGGCTGTTTTGACCTCCACACCCATGCTTCAGCATGCATGTCTTTACACATGCACATGGAGTAAATTAAAATGCAACATAAATAACAATTTTAAAGATATGCCTCCCCAATTAATTGTAATTAAATATCATTTTATGTACTGGGATTCCACACAAATTTTCATTTGAGGACGACCATTACTGGAAATTCTTAATTTTTAAATTTTTGATTGATACATAGCTGTATATAGGGTAAAGAGTTGTTTCAATAACTGTACAAAGGATGATGAGCAAACTAGGCTAATGAACATCTCATAACCTTGAATATTTATCATCTTTTGCAGTACACCCAAAACTCTCTCCCAGTTATTCTGTTATTTATAATAATTGCCCTACTGGGCAGTAGAGAACACCAGAATTTATTCTAACTGCAGCACTGTACCCTGTAAATTGTTTTTAAATTCTATTTTCTCAACAACAGACATCAAAATGTCCACTACTGTGATAACAGCACTTTTATATTAAAGGGCTGGAAACCACTGAGCTCTTAGCGTGACAGGAAAGGATTAAGGTACCATGAATTTAAGAGAATGCACACTCTAAACCCTTCAAGCCATGAGTTCTGACTTGAGGCTTCCAGTAAGAATTTCCCTAATCTCTAACAGATCAAGCTTTTTTTCCCTATTAACGAAAAACACGATCTTTAGGACCCTTCCAATTCACCTAGTTATCACAAACTCCTAGTGGCTGTAGGGAGTGAGAGACAGACCACATCTATAGCCTATAAAACAAGTATTCCAAAAGTCCCATTTTTAGGTCAGCCACCTGGTGTGACATGTCTGTAACCCTCTAGTGGGGGAGGTCGTCAGCCTCAAGAGGCCAGGTGCGTGACTCACACCTGGAAACCTGGGTTTCAGAGGGCGGCAGGAAGATTGTAGAAAGTTCAAGGGTAGTCTCCTACTTAGCTTCTGTTGTCTACTGGATACAACCTCAAATCACCTGAGAGATCTTAATTGGGGACAAGCAGCTTGATCAGCAGTCAATTCCACACCAGTCTGAGCAAACAATGAGACCCTGTGTCTCAAGAAGGGAGAAGGGAAATAAGCAGACGACCATACATACGGAATAAAAATTGTTTAAAATGGAGGGGGAAATTTTAGGTCTAAGTGAATTTAATAGGATCATAGTGAACAATATAACCTTAGTTTTTTTTGTTGGGTTGGGTTGTTTTTTACTCATGGTCTTGCTATGTAGCCCAGGCTGGCTTTGAGATCATAAAGCAAGAGCCATGTCTAGAAAACCTGCAGCTTCATAAGTAAGGAAGAGCAAACTATTAAGAGAATTGTAGATAACCTTAAGACCATACAAAAGAACCTGAATTTAACTGTTAACAAGGAAAATAGGTGGTTCTGTTTTCACCTATAATACTGCCACTTACTAGAAGGATTGCTCTAGCTAGGCATGGTGGTGTGTGCCTTTAATGTCAGCCCTTTGGGAGACACAGGTAGGTAGATCCTTATAAGTTTCAAGTCAGCCAGAGTTACAAAGTAAGACACCGTCTCAAAAAAATAAACGAATAAAAACTCAGGGTGAGAGGTTGGAGAGACTGCTTAAGGTAAGTACAATATATGGCTCTGTCACACTGAGCTGATCATAAAAAAATTAGAAGCACATTAAAAATCATTAACCAAAACTAAGATAGCATTACTATTATTACTCTAATTACAACCCATTATCATTGTAAACCAAACAGCCAAAATGGATTTTTCTAATCAAAATAAAAAAAGATTACTGTTTATCCTCACAATGACTTCTCGAGAAAGACAAAGGATTTTTCTCCCCAAGACCCAGCAGCATTCACTAAATTGGTCAAAAGGGACTTTATGCAACAATGATGAAATGCAGTCTGTGGAAAACAAGCAAGCTGCTTTACTCTCCAGCCACTAGCTCCCCATCCATTTCAGAGTTTGTTTCTGAAGCACACAGCCCTTCAGCATGACTCCATCCTCAGTACTCATCTCGTCAGAGACAGAGCAATCATAATCATGTTCGGACTAAGAGTGAAAACACCTGACTTTAATACAATTCTAAAGTGTGACCTTTCACTTCGTTAAAAAAACATTTCCAGGGGGCTGAAGACAGCTCTTGCATAGGACCCAAGTTCTGTTCTCAGTCACCCACTCTGAGCGGCTGCTTCACAAGCAACTCCAAGGGAACTCATCTCTGAAACCTGCACTCACACATACCCAATACAGACACAAACAGCAAAAACAAAGTATTTTTATAAGTTCCAGAAAAAAAGTAATGTAATCAAAAATAGACATCAAAAAAAGATGTGAGGTGAATCTCTGTGAATTCGAGGCCAGCCTGATCTACAAATTGAGTTCCAGGACAGTTAGGGTACAGAGAAACCCTGTCTCGAAAAACCAAAATCTGCCAGGCCAGTGAGGTGGTTCGGGTGGGCAAAGGCACTTACTGTCAAAATCTGAGTACCTGAGTTCAATCCCCAAAATCCACATGAAAATAAAGGGAGAGAACTGACTCCTACAAGTTGCCATCTGATCTCCACACACAAATAAATGTATAAGACAGTAAATACAAACAAAAAAAATTCTTTAAAAACTGCCATTGGGTGTAGGTGATCCTGTCTATAATCCCAGCACCCAATTTGTTTGAGGCCAGCCTAGTAGTCTACAAAGTGAGTTTCAGGTTAGCTTAGACTAGATTTTTTTTTTTTTAGGGGAGGGAGGACTGGAGAGATGGCTTAGCAGTGCCGATGATGCAGATTCGATTCCCATCACCCACATGGTGTCTTGCAACTGCCTCTACTTCAGTTTCAGGGGCTCTAGACAATGAGTACAAGTCCAAGTACCAACATGATAGAAGGAAAAACCCAACTCCCACACATTGTTCTCTGCTTCCAACACCAGAATACATACACACACACACACACACACACACACACACACACACACACACTCCAAAATAAATAAACAAGCAAATAAATGTAGTGGAGAAAAATTTAAGGGAATGGTGGCTCAAGCCTGCAATTTCAGCACAAGGGAGGCCAAGGCAGGAGAATCAACATGGGTTCAAGGCTAGCCTGACCTAAAAAGTAAGTCCCAGGACACCCCAAAGTGGCCAGAAAAGCAGTAAGTTGTGTTGTTTGCATGTGGCTGCATTTTCGGAGGATGGGGTTGGGGGGACTGATTTGAGACAGGATCTGGATAGAAGCCCTGGCTGCCCTGAACTCATGGAGGCTAAGCCAAACTCATACTTGCTACATGATCTCCCTGTCCCTGCCTATCAGTGATGAGATTATAGGAGTGTACCACACTCCCCAGGGAAACTGCAGAGTTTTGAGGGTTTAAAAGCTTGTTTCACTCATAAGTGAACAAGCAATTAAATGTATCAGAGACTTAATAAAATAGAAACAGAAAAGGCTTAGAGGAACTGCGGATCACTCGGCTGGTAAGAACACTAGCTACTCTTCCATAGAACCTGGGTTCAATTCCCAAAACCACACAGTGGCTCAGAATCATACATAACTCCAGTCCCAGGGCTTCCAATAGCACCAAGCACACACATGGTACAGACATAATCACAGACAAAACACCCATACACAAACTAAATAGAACACTTATCAGAGGTCTAACCTAGCTCAAATCTGTGGCTTTCCCTTTGCTCCTTCCTAGTCCAATCTAGGTAAAACCACCTAGTCCATATTGATGCTGCAAATTGCCTTATGCAGGTGTTGAGGCACTGAACTTACTTAAGCTCCTGCCAGACTGCATAAGTGGTCTGTGCTGAAATGGCACTTACGGTCCACTGCATTATAACTAAATTCTCCACTGCAACTTCAACCGTAACAAATATGACCGGCAAAGAATAAAATCTAACGTTTTTCACTTCTGATTAATCAAGTTTGCTGAGCTGGGTGTGGTAGGACTTGCTCTCACAGAAGTCTCAACCTTTTAAAAGGACTTTTAGTCTATTATCTTTCCATCCATTACAAAACTTACAAGTCCCTTCCAGGAACTCAACTATGAATCTACAGATTGGTGCAATCTAAAGAGGAAATCAAGAATTTTGGATACTAGGCAGCATGACAGCTCACCTGTAAACCCAACATTCAGAAGACTAAAGTCGAAGCAGGAAGACTGCTATGAGTTTGAACTAGCTTGGGTTACGTAGTGAGCATCAGGCCATTCTACATCAGAAAAAAACAAAAAACTGGATCTTTTCCCATCTTAAACCAACTCTGACATATAAAACTCAAAGCCAACAGAAGGTATTTCAAAGCCATCAAGGCTATAATCCAATTTGACTAGTAACGGCTCCTCACACAGGTGAAATGATCACGACAGTCTTTTTCTTCAGCGTTTAAAACATTATGAAAGTAAGAATGGGCCAATGAGGTGGTTATGAGGTAAATGCATTTGCTGCAAAGCCAGCTGACATGAGTTTGATTCCCACAGACCATACAAGATGAAGAGAGAACTAGCAAGTCCTCCTTGAACTCCACAAGTGCACCATGGTATATGTGCACACCTACCAATACATAAAATGTTTAAAAATTAAAGGAAAAAGGAAGCATGTTGATTATTGTTTTAACCTTTTCTGAAATTTTGGCAACAATGTTATTCTTCACTGAGTTATATCAAAATTAAGACATTCAATAACAAATGAAACCAAATTACTGAACTCTTGCTTAACCAGAAATTCAATGTCTCTTGAAAGGAAGCAATGGGGGAGGGGGCAGCAACACCTCTAAGGCACACACCGCTTGTTTAGGCCACAGCTTCCCCTGCCATGAGGGACTTTATTCCTCCCTCCCACAAACCATGCTCTGGACAGCTCCCTAGGGTGTCTAGGTGCAGGTGTGACAGTCCAAGCTTTTTCTCTCAGTCAAGTGTTGTCCAATGGAAAGAGGCACGAGGATCTGTTTGAGGCCAGCCTGATCTACAAACAAGAGTTCCAAGACAGCCAGGACTACACAGAGATCATATCTAAAAAACAAATCGCAGGCTTCTCAGAACCCATCTCATAGTGTGGACATACTGTGACCAGTCAGCTTCCTCTCCTGCCCCACTGCCCTGCCTGCATGCTGCCATGTATTCCCTGCCATGACAGGTGGTACCATCCCCCCAGAACTGTAAGTCAAAATAAACCCTTTCTTCCTTAAAAATTAAAAAAAGTGAACTATTCCAACTCTTGTGAGTAAGAAGTAGGAAAGTCGCGAACTTTGTTTCACATCCAGCTGCACCTCCACAAGCACTGTTTTCAGTGAGGCACACAATTTGCTTCCCTATCTGCTAAATGGAAGTTAAAATAACCCCTTTCATGCATCATAAATGTGAAGATGAAATGGAGACATGGCAAACATGAATGTGCACACGTGTGCACTAAGAGCAAACAGAAGAGTTGCATACACTTCGTGAATAATAGCACATGCTTTATTGTGTAGTTTGAAATCAACTAGTGTTTCTCGAGGACAGACAAGTTTTTACTGAGTAACAGCTTCCTGCAGCAAAGAGCAATCCCCCCAAATAAGCTGTCCCACGTAAACTTTTAATTCTTTTTAAAGATACTATCTCCAACTACAATCCACCCAGTTCAGCACAATTTTTTTACGTTTTTCTAAGGAGCAGTCTGTTTTTACATCCATTCAAGATTCATTTCGTGAGTTCCATATACGGTGGCTTGTGCATTTGGGAGGCTGAGGATTTCCATGAATCCCAGACTGGCCTCGGCCACAGAGAGAACCCTGTTGTAAAGAATGGTGGAGGAGTGGGAACAAGTATTCACTTGTCTAGGTTTTAAAGTGTCAAAGAGAATTCCTGTATCATTAACTATATAACGTGGTCATCTTTATTAGTTAGCAACCAGAATTCCTGAAGACTTCAGAATGCTTAAAGTTAAAATCAAAATCCAAGCATGCTGGTGGGTGTGAACACAGTATTCAGAGGCTAAAGTAGGTAAGAAAGATTGGATTGTCAAGTGACAGCAACTGGGTTAATGCTATTACCCAGATATCCCCCCACCACCACAAAAAGAAAAAGGAAAAGAAAATACAATCCAAGGAGAGAAATCACTATAGGTTTATAAATTCCTCATCAAAACACTAGCAGATGGCCAAAAGTAAATGCTAATGCACTTTAGGAGCATAATGAACAAGAGATTCCTTTAAAAGTACATCAAAAATCGACCACTTCGATTATAAAATCCTACAAAGCAATCAGAAATTAGGGCAGCAACCGAAGCATGCTACATTTCTTAAATGTTCTATCTAGCAAAATGGTAGTGCATTGTTACTTCGAACAAGCTCTAGAAAAGAGCTAATTCCTCCAGACACCTCCCCCATACGTGACTTTAAAAAAAAAAATCACCAAGGGGGACGCGACTCCCACATCAAAGTATCACTATATAGTGCCGTTTTTAAAGCCACATCCTAATTTTTTTAAACCTTCGAGGCTACATCTTGTGACTTCAATTCTTTCTGATTCGGCAAAGTTACTGTAAAGGACAGCAGTTCACACTGTTCCTTTCCACAATGGTCTTTCTGTGTTTTAAACTTTCGCCCAGATTTGATGACCAAGATTCAAATCCCCTAAGAGATGATACAACTGACATAAATGAGGGATTTGGGGAGCAGCGATTACATACAACAAACCAATAGTCTTTTCAAAAGTAAAGAAAAGCCAGGGTTGGGGTCTCCTCCCTGCACAAGTTAGTTCTGTGAGATTCAGGAGATCAGCCATATTGGAAAACACTTGTCAATTACAGTTCTGACAAGTGTTCCCGAACACCGATGCACGAAGCTAACCTTGTGTACCGAGGTGTACATCAAGGGCCTCTGGAGCTCGGCTGGAGCGTCTCGGCCACTTTAGGGGGGGGCTGTCTCCGGGACAGAGTCGTCCTTCGGTCCAAAGGGAAAGCCGCGCCGAGGGAAGGAGGGTGGGGAAAGGAGAGTTGAGGGGGGATGGTGAGGAGTTGGAAGCCGCTCAGTGGCGAGAGAGGGGCGCGGCGGCCGCCAGGGATTTCCGAGTTGAGATCTGGGGGAGGGGCCGAAAATTCAGGGGGCGGGAGATCGCGGAGGGAAAGTATTCCGGGTCTGGGGTCCCAAAGCCGGGGGCAGAGGGAGATCGCGACGAAGCCTTTCCCAGGGCGAGCTAGCAGGCGGGGTCGGAAAGGAGGGGCAAGAAACGGAAAGGACCGCGGCGAGAAAGTCCCCTCGGACCCCTTAGAGCCGGGGAGTCTAGACAGAGCGAGGGGATCGCTGCAAGGCGGACCCTCGGGCTGGGCCAGGGCAAAGGGATCACCCCGATGGGGTCCCAAGAGGAGTCCCCTAGACAGGGTCCAAGGGGAGTCCCCTGGGCCCCCTCGGTGGCGTCCGGGAGGAGTCCCCTAGACGGGATCCAAGCAGAGTCCCCTCGAGAGAGAGAGACAGACAGAGATTCAGGAAGGAGTTCCCAGAGTCCCCACGACGGGGTCCCGCAAGAGTACCCCCGGTGGCGCACTGACCTGTCCTCCGAGTCCATGCGGCTCAGTGGTTCCCCGTCGGACGACATCTCCAGGCTGCCCCTCCGGCCCCCGGAGGTCGCGCTGCTCCCGCCTCCCCCGGTGCCGTAGCCCTCGTCGCCGCCGCTCGATACCACGCTACTGCTGCTACTACCGCCGCCACTGCCCGGGCCGCCCGGGCCGCCCCTCGGTCCCTTGGGCTCCTCCAGGCCCTCCTTCCCGTCCCCATCGCCGCTGCTGCTGCTCGCCGCGCCCGGGCTCAACTAGCGCGTCTCGTCGCCG